ATCAAACTGGTTCCAACCCATACAGGCTCTTTGCACAACAGAAGGAAAACTGCTTGGTTTTGAGCCATCCTCACAATTGTTCCTCGGCCTGAGTCCACTGGCCCAGTGCTGTAACCACTGTGTCCGTCCACCCTGTTGAGGGCCTCCTCTTTTTGGCTGCCCCTCCCTCCACTCCACCAAGCTAACAAGAAGAGCTGGGAAACTGCATAGTGATATAGAGCCCATTCATGGAAAGGTAACGATTATAAATGTAGTCAAAAATGCAATTAACACCAGGGTTCTGAAATAAATAAAGCAAATACTGACAGAACTGAAAGAGACAATTCAACAGAGTTTTATAGCGCTTACATTTCATTCTCCATAACTGATAAGACTATGGAAAATTCAGTAGGGGTATAGAAGCCTGAAAACACACATCAACCAATCTGATCTGACAACGTACGTTACAGAGTAACACAGAAAACACTTTTGCCCCCTTCCAGTACACATGAAACACTCTAGGGTGGTAGTATGTTATGACTAACCCTTAATACATTTGAAAAATAGAACTGTTCTATAAATGCAATGTAATTAAAGATTAAAAACCACATCTGGAAAAAAACTAAATATTTGGGAACTGGGAAGCATACAACTAAGTATCAACAAATAAGTAAATAAATAAACAAAAAACAAAACTCACTGCCATAGAGTTGATGCCAACCCATAAAGACCCTGGAGCATGAGGGAGAACTGCCACTGTGAGTTGTTGAGACTGCTCATTTTTCACATGCATAAAAAGCCCTGTCTGGGCGGAGGAGCCCTACAGGACCAATGGCGTGAGTGGCGATAGAGGGAGGGTACAGGGAGAGTGGGTAAAAAAGAGGGAACCGATTACGAAGAACTATATGTGACCCCCTCCCTGGGGGACGGACAACAGAAAAGTGGGTGAAGGGAGACGTCGGACAGGGCAAGATATGACAAAATAACAATTTATAAATTATCAAGGGCTCATGAGGGAGGGGGGAGTGCGGAGGGAGGGGAAAAATGAGGACCTAATGCCGGGGGTTTAAGTGGAAAGGAAATGTTTTGAGAATGATGAGGGCAATGAATGTACAAATGCGCTTTACACAATTGATGTGTGTATGGATTGTGATAAGAGTTGTATGAGCCCCTAATAAAATGATTTTTTTTTTTTTAAAGCCCTGTCTTTCTCCGGAGGAGTACCTGGTGGTTTCGAACTGCTGGCCTTTCACTTAGCAGCCCAACTTGCAACCACTGTGCCACCAGGGCTTCTTACAACGAAATAACATGGGCCAAAAAAGAACTAGAATCAGAAAATATTTTGAACGGAGTCAAAACTAAAAGTATAAATAAAATGGTTAAGAAGAAGCGAGAGCTGAGAAGGAAATGTAAAAACCTAACAACTTATTATTTCACCTGAAGAACTAGTAAAAGATGAGCCCACGGTCTTTAAAGCAGTTTTCCAAGCGATTTCCCCCCACAAGTCGCCAGAATTCAATTTGCCAAATGGAATTGTTTTAGCCATACTTTTTGACTTTTATTCAAGAAGATTATTTAAAGGGGGCCCCAGGCTATAGACCAAAACACTCCCCAAAAGTTAATTTTAATTCATAGTGACCCTACAGAGGGTTTCCAGAGCTGTAAATCTCTAAGGGAGCAGAGAATCTCATTCTTCTCCCCCCTCGGTGCGATTTGTGGATTTGAACAGCTGATCTTGTGGTTAATAGTCCAATGCTTCCTAGGCAGGGTACATACTGAGAATGGATCTAATTTCCCCAATGGAAAATCCTTCTCGACACCTGGGAGGTCCTGTCACTCTCTTCCTTTACTAATGTGAAAATGAAGAGTTTATGAGTTAATGTCCTTGGTTAATGTTACAAGGTGTTACGGCGACAACTAAATCATTTCTGATTTGGATGTTAACTGTTCCTACAGCACTTCTGATAGCCCTGATATCACATGAGACTATCATAAAAATGACAGGGGTCACTTAAAGCTAATGGAAACTGTTACCTAGTTGGCCTCCTTTGTGAGGAAGCAGGTTCCACAGACCTGGAAGTTAGGCTCTTTCACTTTCCTTCCTGCTGGCTCTCTACATCCCAGATGACCCAATTGCCTTTCAGCCCTCATCTTAAGCGTGACTTCTAGGAGCCTTAGATGCCTCTCCCATGTATTCTGAGGGCACGTGTTCTGATAAAGCCCTCACCAAGAAGTGTCCCTGTCTCTCACACGCATTCCACTGCCAAGGGACACAGCGTGTACGCATGGATGAATACACAGAAACATTGTAGAATCTTCACAATACTTTTAAAATCTCTCAGAGGTTGTAGAACACCTACATAATGACCCAGTTGTTTTCTATCATATTTTAAGAAAATATTTCCCCTGTTCCTATGTAAGTGGCCCCATAGATGAGTCATAAATGTCCTACGACTTTGCAGGACCCAGTTTCAAAACCACAGCTTTATTCTATTGCAGCAGGATGAAAATTTCCATAAAATTGCATTGCAGAGAGAAAAACAAACAAACGTGGTTTGCTTTACTACTTTTCTCGTGTTGGTTGATGAATTGCTTTGTGTTTTAGTTTAATCTCTGACAGGGTCCTGATTTAGGATGTACTGGCTGATTAAAATAAAGCAGGAAAAACTACTATTAATCTGAAGAATCTTTAAAGGTTACAAAGCAAAATTCTTTTTACTCTGTTAGCTCATAACTAACTACCAAAAAAAGGATCTCTGGGTCAGACCGCCTGGGATTAGCCTGGCTTAAGATTGAAGCCTTTTCGAACAAACCCCATACACGCATTAAACAGAAAGCTGGGGCGATAATGAGATTACAATAACATTCTGTAGTTTAAGATAAGGCTCCTAAAATGGCATCATTGCCTTTTTCAAAGCTGAATGATAAAGACACCAAAAACCAAATCCACTGTCATCAAGCCAATTCTGATCCTGGCTGCAAGCCTTTACAAGAGCAGACAGCCTCATCTTCTTCCTGAGGAGCAGCTGATGGGTTTGAAGCACCAACCTTGCGGTTAGCAGTCCAACACGTGACCAACAGCATCACCAGCCATATAAAAATTCTTGTACAGCCTTTAAAATTGGAGCTTAAATCTCTAGCATTTTCTTGCTTTTAATTTTTTTTAATTTTGTGATATAGAGACATCAATAGAAGGATTATAACAAGAAATTAGTTTCAGAATATCTATAGTTCTATTTCCTTTACAGTATGTTAAATAGATAAAAGAAAAGGTACACAGACTTTATCCTGGAAGTTACTTTAAACAGTGGTACTTCAATGGTGCCAGTAATTCATTCTCAGACTGCTTAATTCCTTATCAGACTTTGAAGTATGAGAAAAATGTACTTACATCATCTGCAATGCCAAAGATTTTAGATGTTAAATATTTGAGCATGACAGTTCCAAATAACCAAAAACATCCTTGGATGATCTACAAAAGAAAAAGAAGAGAGGCAAAACAAAAACAACTTGACATTTCCATTGCCTAAGCCATTCATAGACATAGCCTAGGAGGAAAAAAATAAGTGCTTTATCATACATGAAATAAATCTCTATAGTTAAGCAAAAGCACTAACAATGCATCTTAAAATTAAAAAATGTTGCTCCAAAATTAAGAAGCATACATACATATAATCTAATTCTCATATTAATGTATTAGAAGATTTATAGAGCAATTAATTTCCTCTTTTCCTAATATTTTTTTTCTTTAACCACACACTGCTCCTCAGAAGAAGCATGAATAATAAAATAAATAAATCTGGAAGTTTTAAACTACCTATGGAATGTTAATCTTAACTTGATTCATGAAAAGGACAATTTGACACATTAAATTTGAGCCTTAATATGTTATAAAACTCTGAAATCCCCTGTAATACACAGATCATTTTCTTAAGCGTAGTACATTAAGATCACTGGTATGTTTTAGAGAAGGAAAACTTATGTGTTAAACAGATTGATTCTTACCCATAAACTAAGTTCAGACATATTCATTTTCAGCAAATGTGGTTTCACTGCCAGCACAGCCTGCATAAAGAACAGAACAGTTAATACCTGCAGACATAAATTCAAGAACCAATAAAAACTTGGAATAATAACTCTCAAGAATACAAACTTCACATTGTTGATTTTCCATGCAAAATCAATGCTGACTTCTATGTTTCCTAACATAAGGAAATAAACCTACTATATCCATAGCAGAAGAGGCGGCCAGCGAGTAGTTTTTAAAAGTTGAAAATAGTATTACCATACAGAAATTTCTAACTAATTTTATGTATTTGATTTTTAGCTAAGAAATCAGCTGGATAGGTTTCAATTAAGCTTAAGATTGTCCTTAAGCTAATAATACTGACCCCTTGGAAGAATAAGACTACACATGGGATTTTGATGGATCAACCAAAGACTTCTGTCAAATGAACCCTTTCCAGGTGCACAGCCTTGCAAAGTATATTACTAACAGGGATCCCAGTCTGCTCTTATAAGAGTTGGCAAGATTATGGATGGAGATAAATCATAAATACTTGATCCCAAATAGAATATTTTCAGAAGTTTTTGAACATCTGAGAACATAAAATAAGTTATAATTCAGGTTTCAACATAACTACGAATATACACAAGTGTATGTGTACAACTAAATTACAAATAAGCACGCTATTTTCTGTTAACTCTTGACATCACTTATTTTTATACACCATGGCATAGTGGGCTATCGGTTGGGCTGCTATCCACAAAGCCAGTCAGCAGTTCAAAACCACCAGCTGCTCCATGGAGGAAAGATGAGGTTTTCTACTCTCAAGTGTTACAGTTTCAGTAAGCCACAAGGTCTGTTCTACCCTCTCTCACAGGGTTGTTATCAGTTCAAAATCACTTGATGGCAGTGTGCTTTGCTTTGTACATAAAGATGTTTAATTCATAATGAAGATACACCAAGATTTCAAGTACCTGACACTTGAACTAAGCTGAACAGAAATCTCCTAGAGAATATACATAAGAGAAACTTTATTCATATGCAGTATTCAACCCAATGGGTCCCCTCTACACAGGTAGTACTAGGTACCAAGGCCATCCATCAGGTAACAGTAGTACTTCCCATGTGCACAGGTAAAACACAGCAGTGATTGTACTGCAATATTTTCCAATTAAGAACTGAGCTTGTTGACTTCAAGAACTATATTTATTAATTCCCAAGCAAGTCAGGTAGGATTTTCTTAAATTGTTTTTCTTCATAGCTAATTCTTGTAATGGTATCTGAGCCACATATCTGAAAAGTGTGGTGGCCCAGAGTGGAAAAAGGAAAGAGTTATCTACCTTATAAAAGTTATAATCATAGGGAACATTAGCTACAATTGTCAGAGTAATGTTCTTTGAGAGAATAAAACAACTATTTTTTAATAGAACTTAATCACATATTCCTCACTAAAAAACAATTCTACCTTTCAAACTGATGCTTACTTTATAAAGGCTAGTGTGGTAAGCTGAAATTACTTGGTATGGATCTTCTACCCTCTTGTCTTTGTAACTTGGTACACCAAATGATCGAGTGGAACCATGCAAACGGAGTGTGTGAAACTCTAAATAGAGATTGGTCGATTTTGCCAATCTATTGGGTATAAAAGTGAGCCATCTCAGAAGAGATTCCCATGACCACCAAGAGAGAAAAGCCATCAGTGAAGCATGTGAAAGAACCCTATCTGAAGTGGTGAAGGCAGCAGAGGCAACAGAGGCCATAGCACAGAGACCATGAGACAGAGGCAGAAGGAGGCAGGCTTCCTAGACCATGCACAAGCAGAGGCTAGGGGACTGCATGACTGAGAGGCCAAGAACCAGAATGAGACATGCCAGGCAGCATGGCTGGAAAGAGACATTGTGGGCAAAGGGACTGTTATCTTTAAAATTTTCTAACCTGTTGGCTCCCATAGTAAATGTAACGATTGTGGACATTGCTTTGAGTTCTATGTAACCACTTCAATAAATTATTGAACCCATCAAAGAATCAGACCGCTGTAAGGATGTTTGGCATCAGAGTCGTATAAAGGACGGAGAGTGGAGGGAGGCATGTCTGACCTCTCTCTTGTGTCAGTTGGCCTTGGGCTGGTCTGAAGTTGGATTCCTCTCTTTACTGAAGTGAGAGGAGGTCACATGTGGCCCCCCAGCCATTTCTTCAGTTAGTCTTGAGATCAAGACTTATTTTTTTTAAGACTTATTTTAGGAAACAATATTTAGACAATAATGTACATTGAATCTATTAATCAATTTTAATAAACTTTCAGATGTGTCAGAAAATAAAAGGATAAAAGTGGTAACAAATCTAATTGGATTATGTTCGGTAGAGACATCTTTTTTAATGTCACCCTCACCGTCCAGAAATATCAAAATGAATCCCAAACAGGTACAATTTCTCTTTTGGTGAAAATTAGAGGGAGGAGAGTAGATATCTTTACTGATGGCATATTCTTGGGAAATGGGTTATTAACTAAATACTATTTGTATACTGGGACAAAGAAATAGACAATCTCAAATTTGCTAGTGGTTATAGATGTCAAGAAAGCCAATAGAATCAAAGTAACGTAAATGATTATTCAAGAAGTAGAATATATTTCAATTAGGACCATGCAGGATGCATTTTTCTTAAGAAAGTTGGCCTACACAAAAGCACATGCAATTCAGAAATAACAAATAATGAAGACATTTTAACAGTAAATTCTATTGAAAACAGATAAAACCATCATAGGAGTTTTCAAACTTAAAGAGGCTTTTCTATCTAGAAAGGATCCCTGGGAGCATAGCGGGTCCCGCATTAGGCTGCTAACCACAAGTGAGCAGTTCAAGCCCAACGGCGCTTCGTGCAAGGAGATGAGGCTGTCTGCCCAGTCAAGACTGACAGGCTCTGACACCCTATGTAATGGTGCTAGCAACTGGAATCAACTCCATGGCAATGGATGGAATTTAGGTCTGGAAAGCCATCCTGCTAAAAGTGGCAGTGAGTTAGATGAACTTTCACCATTTATCGATTCTATAAAACAGCTTCCCCATAATCTCACTCTGTTCTGGGGAGTGATTCAGCAAAACACTGCTGAATTCATCACCAGATTTAACCACACAAGTATGGGGACAGACAGCTCCACAGGCCTCTGATCACAGCGAAGGGGCCACTGTGAGATGGTACAGTGGACAGGAGTCGGAGAGTGGGGCAGTAACGCAATGGAAAAGGAGAGTGTAAAGAGAGCATGCGGGCGTGTGTCAAGTGAACTCTGGGGCCAAAACTGAGGTGACTGATAGATAATAGAAGAAAACAATAGGACAAAGATGAGGAATGGTGTTATGTTTGTTTTTTTTGGGGGGGGGGGTCATCAATACACTTGTGGTTAGGCCATCCCCACCCCCTGCCACCCTCTTGTAAAGGAACTATTTAAATACACCATCACATATGGAAGGAAGTATTCAGGAAGACACTAGAAAGAGTTCCTACAGAACATTTCCCTGGAGCCAGGAATCCCAAACTAGTGAGGTATTTAAGGAATACTTACCCAGATAATTACCAAAGAGGAGGCATAATAAGAAGTTAATAACATTGAGTTTCCAAACATCAAAACAAAACAAAGTGCGAGAGAAATCTGGGGGGAAAAGCCAAGAAATGAATAATTAATATGCATTTAAAGGCAACAATATTCACATTGATATTATGAAAACTTCCCATGCTCAAAATAAAGAAAATTTCAATGATAAAAAAGGAACGAAATAACGAAACGTGAGCTCACTTCCACCCAACACCGGAAATCCCCAGAGTACCAACATCAACACTTTCGAGCATCTCCATTCAGAAAGCCACATGCATATGCTCTACTCTTTAAGTATTTCTAAAAGCATAAACAGAAAACTGTCACATATGTAATACTATTAACTTTATTCATAATAACTTCTCAGAGAACCAATCTAGCTCCTTTGGTTTAATAGCTGGACTACATTTTTTTTAACCAATTACTGCCTAGTGTTAACTGCTAAATGGTTTCCAGTTTTGCGTCTGGTCTTGTTTTAGTTCTGAGACGGGTAATATATATATCTATGTATAGGTCAAAATCCCTCGGTGGTGCCCACAGTTAGTTAATACTGGGGGTTACTACATGGAGGGTTGGAGGTTTGAGTTCACCCATGGAAAAGAAGGACCCGGTGACCAACTCCTTAAACCGAGTCACGGGAAACCCTGAGCACAGCTGTGGGCTGACGGGCAGAGGGTCACCATGATTTGAACCCCATTCAGTTAGTTTTAGGTACATGTCAACACATTTATGAGCTAAATTACAAGCAGTGCAATTCAAGGATCAAACGCTACCAACATTTAAAAACTTGAAAAACTATTGCCAAATTAATAATTCTACAAAAAACTGGACCAATTTACTCTCCCAACAAAAAGGTGTGAACATTCCTGCTGGCTAATATGTTTATGTATGATTCTTTTAAGGATTTGGAATTAAATAGGATAAAAGTGTTATCTCATTGTCTTCCTTTTCCATTCTTTTAACAATATGTGAGTTTTAGATTCTTTTTTCCATTTTCTCATATTGCTATTTTGTGTATTTAGTCTCCATTGCTTATGCCTGTGATTGGTAATTTTCTATTGGGTTTTTTATTATACAAGAGTAAGTAAAGTATTATCACAAAATTATATAAACATTTATTAAACAAAAATATCAAAATGTGAGGCTATACTTTTTTATATTTCTAACCCTTTCCCAAAGAATGCTGCACTCTTAGACTTATACTAAGTCAAAGCCACAGTTGTGACATCTTCTGGGGACTCAAATCATCTTCCTTTTAAATAGTCTTTAAGTTTTAGGAACAAAAGACATCTGTAAGGGCAATATCAAAGAGTGGCTAGAACAACGCTTCTCTCTGAAACTCTTACAAGACAGCCAGTGTCACTCAAAGAATGAAAAGGTGCGTTATCACAATGGGGAAGATCCCTTGGAGCACCATTCCTGGCCTTCTGCTCACCAGTGCACTTGTACATTTCCTTAAAAGTGTTTTCTAGTTAAGCCCCCATGACTGTCCTCTGTGCTTTTGAGAAAAATCTATCAAGATAACCCCTTTGGAATTCCCCCAAGCAGTTGCCATAATCTTCTGAGATGCCCTCTCTCCCTTGAATTTTAACTTGAATTTAGCCAGCCCAGCAAATCTCCTCAGATGCCCTATTTTGACTGGGAGTTTTCTTGGAAGGCGCCCTCACGAGACTAAGAAAATGTTATTCCTGAGAGAACTTGGCTGCAGCTATTCACTGATCAGGGACATGTCCAAACATGTTTTGTTTAGAATAAACCCATGAAGCGTAAATTGCAACCCTAATAGTAATACTTTCTGATTTAGCCTTATATCGACAAGTACTGAACTTCTAGGGAACAGTCATTACAATCTTACACAAGATTTAACATAAAACAGAAAAAGTAGGCATTCACTACAATTAATTCTAGACAAGTAGAATAAATCTGCTATCAAAATAATCCAAGTATAAAGAAAGATTAGCTATTATCCCCAACCCCACTTTGAGTAGAATGATAAAAATCCTAATAAAATAGTAGCAAACTAAATCCAGCAATGTATAAAAATTGTGTTTAACCCAGAAAAGCAAGTTCTCTTAATATTGCAAAGGCAATGAGTGTAAATGACCACGGAAATAGACAGAAGGAAGAAAAAGATCATCTAAACAGAACCAGAAAAGTATGTAATTAAATTTAACACATTTTTTAAAAAAAATACTCAAAGCATGACAAAGACATGTCAGTTTCAAATAGTTGGCCAAATCTGAAATAATGTGAGCATCAAAGTTAATAATGAAAATAATGGATTATACCACACTGAATGAATTATAAGCTATATATCCACATAGATGGGTACACATACAGTCAATATCAGATGAAAAATGGGATATTTACCTAGACTCAAAGTAATTCCCCACAAAGTATTACCAATCATCAAAAAAAAAAAGAAGAAAGAATAATTTCACAGTGAAGTCACAAGGCAGGCACCACCTCAAATTAAGTGATCGAAGTTACCATTATCAGTAAATGCACAATTAAAGTTACAGGCTGCCTGATACAATACAATGAGAAGAATGCAGACAAAATCACTTTTGTGATAGATACCTCCACCAAAGAAGGACACGTGGAATCTCATGAAAAGAAAACATCAGACAAACCCAAGCTGAAAGGCATTCTACAAAATGGCCTGCAATCTTGAGAAATATCAAGAGGTTGAAAGCCAAGGGAAAACAAGGGAAGTGCTTCCAGATTAAAAAGACAAAGAATGACATCACCCCTAAAAAGTCAGCTTCTGGGCTGGCTCCTTTGCTGTTATAAGGGCATTATTGAGACAATTAATGAAATGTGAATACTGGATGGCAGTATTGATCAATGTTAATTTTTTAATTCTGATGATGGTCTCAGTTACATTTATAAAAAATATACTTTATTCAGGAGTGATGGTATATCAGGTCAGCAACATATTCACAGATGCTTCATGGAAAAACAGCTCTTTGCAAATTGGTTATAAATATGAAATTATGTGAAAACAAAAAAATACTGCAGGCAGTCTCCTAAGGTGCAATGCTTTCAGCAATGGACCAAAGAAGAGTGAATAAAATCAGAGAATAAAAAGAGAAGCCAATTCATCGACAGCGCTAACGGCCCTAAAACGGAAAGAACTAGAATCTCATTACAGTACTAGATGCTAATGGCCCTTAGACAGTCTTTAGACCTGCAACTGAATTCACTGTCAGTGGGCTCAGTTTTCAGACAGGTCTCTAGGAGATGTACCAGGGAGGCACCCCCTCCTTACAACAATCAACCAAACAAGATTAAAAAAAGGCAACAGCTGCCCTGGGATAAAGCCCCGAAAGCTGGGAGGGACAGTGAACCCAGGGAAGCAGTGGGAATAGTGATGCTGCACGGTGGGGAATGCAAGCAGCATCACAAAGCCAAGCGTGGTCTGCACTGTTGCATGAGCAATCAATTTATTTTGTGAACTTTCACCCAAATCACAATAACTTTTTAAAAAAATCCTTTTTCAGGATTCCTAGACAGCAAGTAGAAGCAAGGGTATAAGTATTGGGGGGGAAAACAATGCCGAGTATGCAAACATGGAATTACTAATCAGAAAAAACAACAGAGAATCTATAGATAAAGTATTAGAACAAGAGTTTAGCAAGTTTGCTAGAAATTAGACCACTGGGCAAAAATCAACTATATTTCTATATAACACAACAATATGAAATTCATCAGAAACACCATTTGTAAAATCAAGAAAAAAAAACTAAAATTAAACTT